AGATATAGGTTTATGTATGAATGTGCCAGTATACAAATGAGTGAAAGTATTGCTATTTATTGTACAAGTACATTGCATTGATGAAAAATCTGAATAAAAAGATAATTATAAAAAAAAATCTTTTAACAGGTTCTTTTGAATGACTTATAGTCATAAACACTGATATTTTGCCTGTAGCTTTATTTTAGATCACTTTTAAGATTTCAAGTGTGAGATTATTACCAGTGAGAGATGCATGCCCATTGGGCCTCTTGTTACAATTTATTACCGTTTGCTCGTTACAATACTCTATCATTTGTTTGTTACAGTTTACAATATACTATTGTCAGCTCGTTACATAGAGGATCTGACACTCGTGTTCATGTAATATTGAATTTATTAAACGAGTTTATTAAACTTTACTTGGACTAGGAGTCACGGTCACTTTCGCTAATAAGGGTGCGTTTCTTGGTAAGGGGTCATTGTTTAATGTGAACCTCGGTATTTCCGCCCGTCACTGAGCCGAAAAATGTACTGTGGAATCTGCCATGAACCTGGAACACCTATGAAGTTGGCCGTTTACATGTGGTCGCCATTGATTGTGTGTGTGTGAGTGTGAGTGTGTGTGTATGTGTGTCAGAATAAGTTGAAGTGGAATTTGAGCATGCAGCTGTTGAATCTATGTGAAGTATCCGGGAGATATCCTTGTGTTGAAGTGAGAATAGTTATTTATGGATGAAATATTTCAAAATCCCCCTGCCATCAATACAAAAAGTATCTCCGGTAACTAGGTCAGCAATTTACAGAAGTTGTAGTGCGAAGGAATATGACCTGATTTTCACGGTGACAAGACTCATTTGCATGTTTATTGTATGTGTGCAATATCGTTTTCATTGAACGGCAATATTGCACGGAAATAGCATGTATCATATAATAAAATATGATATTGTCTGCTCGTTGCAATACTCTATCATCTGATTGTTTAAACATTCTATCATCTGCTCCTATTTGTTACCCTATTATCACAGTTTTAAGTCATCTGTTAGTGTTACAATATTAATGTATTTGTGTGTTATATCGACTCAAGATTATTTTTAATATAGTATTAAATGAGTATGTGATGCAGAATTTATAACTAGTCATACAATAAAATCCCCTCTGAAGGATTGCAGAGTTTCCTGTCTTTTGTTTACTGGTCAAACATCTCAATCAATAAAAAAAATGTAAAGCAATTTTCGTTCAAAAGACTTAAATGTTATTGAAACAAGCAATTCCCTTGATTGAATTCGAAATTGCCCCTGCCAATTCTACTGCTTCTTCGAGAGAAAATGAAGCCCTACCATCGTGGGTAAACATGAGGTCATCAGTTTCACGTGGCCGCGGTTTGGTTCCATGAACATATTTTGAACTCTTGCCTCAATTGATTTCTACTTTACTGATCCTACTTTACTTACCCTGTTTGCTGCAGTGAAGGCATGTCTGTCTGTATGAGGTCAGCATTCTAGCAGCACAACAACAATGCGTCATAGTCGTGTTGAACGGCTCATTATGAGGGATCATGATGCGTAGCCAATCTCGTTAGATACAAATTTACTGTCCTCCAGAGAATGATACTGTATTGATTACTGAGATATACATAAACATTGCGTCATCAACATATACGGCTCGTTAGGGAGCAGTGTAGGACCCTCCGTTATAATAACACTGTTTATGACAGTTTTTAACTGGACACACTCTTATTGAAGTTCGAGGAGCATTCCATATCACCTGGTACCGTTAAAGCATATACGTATCAAGGACCGCTGACAACTTGTCAGTAAAATCACTTAATCATTAAGATTCAGAATTTCAGTGAAAGGGGGCTTAACTCTATGTAGACCATCAATTGTAGTTGTTCGTATGTACTCCCACACATTTATCAGAAGTTATGTTCCTATTAAAGTAATATTTTTTAAGCATGCGAGACCCGAGCCTGTTTCAGCTACATGTACAAATAGGCATGCAGAATAATTAGGACTTCAATGTTTTTTTATTCATGCGCAATGCATGACCTTTTACAAATTAGCAACACAAACTCCTTCGCTGTGAGTTTTGTCACAGTGTAATTAACAGCAGTTGTCTCCATGTTTGAGGAGTGTGAAACGGAAGATTGTCTTCGCACCTCAATCTTTTTAACAAAACGAAACAAAACTCGAATTAAAGGTTGATCCCGGGATTTCCTTAATTTAACAATTCCTCTCAACATTTTGTCCTCAAATGACCATTTTAACTCATTAACGGTAGTTTTAGCATTGTTTGGGTATAATGATAATAATACCATATAGAGATAATTTTGCTTTCCCTTTTCTGTAAGCTAACAAGGCTATTATACCTTACACCTAGTGTTCCGCCAAAAGACCTCAAGATTAGTTGAAGTTCTATAATACCAATGTTTAACGCGATCGTAATTGAGACAGCGACCTAAAATAGATACTAATCTTCTTATTTTTCATCTCCTATCTCACAAGTGTAATGTGCAATTTATTTTTAATCGTTCCGTTTCTAAGAATTAAAACGAAACAAGGATATTTTAAATGGATTAGCTCTAGGACAATTTCATTAATTTCCTGGTGTTAGCAGACGTTGCATTTATTTATTTTTTGTCATAGGAAACTGTTTCAGGGAAAACATCCATACATCACACCTTCAGGTAACTTTTGTATTAATCTACACTGGAATTTCAACGTCCCTGCAGGTAGGGCGTAAGAATTGTACCTGCTGCCCCCATTGCATGATCGTAAGAGGCGACTAAATTTGGGATCTTATCTTTTCTCTTCTTTCTAAAAAAAAATCTTCTTCCTAATGTTTCCCTTGACAATGCCTCACTTTTGGCCTTTAGTTGAGCGTTCGCCCCTGTGAGGAAGGCTTTGGGTTCTGTCCCCTGGCCGAGACATACCAGAGTCTGTAAAAATGGTAGTTTCTACTCCTGCTTAACGCTCAGCAATTTAGGAGCGAGACGACTGGTTCGCCCGTTGTCAGTTTAATGTGACCGGGTGGGATGTCCTGCTGGGTGTCTTCGGCAGTACGTTTCAGTGAGGTAGCACTATAAAGTCGGCAACAGTTCCGTGCTATTACTTGGAGACAAAAACAAACAAATCGCAGCCTCCCAAAACACACACGCATACACTACACGCCGTAGCTGTTGATAGGACGTTAAACAATACTAAACCAGACTAAACCAAACCAAACCAGGAATTTCAAACCCGCATATCTTGTCCAAACACAAATTTGAAAAAATCATGAAACATTCATCCATGACAAGGAAACTTTTTTTTCTCTTTGATATACTTTGATATATCATAAACAACAAGGGGAGACGAGAATCGGAAATAGGAGACATCATGGCTCCGGTATATTATTTAGGCAAATACCAGGTTTGTCTGAAAGGTTATACCCGACGTGATGATACCTGTTTGTAAAGTATGTACGTGATCAGTTATCCTGGACAAAGAATGGCGATACGTGTTTTATATTCTATTGTATACAGACGTCTTATTTTAACACATTGGTTCCGGTTTCCATTCACTTTCTTAACTGGTAAACATTTTCCTGTTAACACATTTCTGTACCCGTATTTTTTGTTGGTTACTGTTAGTTATATACAGTGTCTGCACGTCGAATCCAATCCTGGCTCGAGACTAAGTGAGTTTTCTATATTTGCTTGATTTTTAAAATAGAATATTTAAAAGTTTACGATAAAGTCGATCTACCATCGGAGCAACATAAATTATTTTAGAAATTGACTGGTAGTAAAAAGTTAATAAAAATTGGTATTGCTAATTGAAATGGGTTTTTTTTACCAGATAGTACATGTACCTCTGTAGTAAGGTCAATATAATTTTAAAACAGTACTTATCAAATAGCTCAATTTCTTTTAGAAACGATAGCTAAACATCATGTAGCTAGAATACAAATACTTAACGGACGCTTTGTTCGGTAAAGACAAATGAAATGTGTTTTCAGATGCTTTGTTTATAATGTTCATAGAGAATTTAGCCCCGAAGCATGTTTCAGATGACCTTTAAAAGACGACATAGTGCTATCAATAGTCTGAAGGTTATTCGCTGATTGACACGTACAGATCGCAATAGTTATGTGCTCTGGCAGATAGGAAACACCTGCATAACATAAAACCTTATTGTTTCTGAAGAACGAACAGAGGTTAGGAGTATGCCTCAACTTTCCTTTTACATCCGGTAATCGATAGAATTCATGAGAACTCTCCGATAATTTCCGGTATGATATGGCTTCTCGTCAACCTCATTGGTTAAGCGGAGGCGCTAATTGCATACCTTACATGTGCTCGTATCAATTCCTATTCTAGGCCGTGTCGTGCGAAGCGGAATATCGGCAACATTCACTTGTTCGAGGATTTCAACTTTCGAGTCACATCCGGTTTTGGCAAATGAATTAATCTCGTGTAGAAAATCGTATTAGTCGGGGATTGTAGTTTAAGCCTATACACATAGCTATACATATATCATTTAATCATGAATTCATCAGTGCGTTCGGAAATTCTTTGGCTCGACTTTTGGGGGTAAGAGTAATTAACTTTGTACGCATGCGTTTATTACATTTCTCGTGTCATTTTCACACTCCCATCTAATTGATGTACATGTAACTGAGAATGAAGACGTGGTTTGTGTTCCAAGACCTATACTGTTATGTAGGGAGAATTATTAGACGTTTCATGGTATAAGATCAACACCAGAAAAAAGTCCACGGATTACTCCACGGATTACTACGCGTGGGTGGTATAATTGTTGGGCGTTACTTTACAACCCCCAACTCACCATCCCCCTCCCAAATGTCTAACCTCCTACGCATCGGGGCAGGTCTCAAAACAGAACTCTCTCTTAATTTGCATGATCCTGTAAAAAAACAACACCACTTAACGTCTAGAAACATGTCACGTGTATAAAGGAATTATCTTCCTAATATTAGTGCAATCGACGATATAAAAAGCAAGCTAAACACAAAGACCCTTTCACATAATTTATGTATTTCTTTAATGGAAACATTCGTTGTGTTATGAGAATCACAATGGCACAACTGGGTAGTTTTGTGTATTGTACTGACTTTATTTCAGGTAATTGTGAGATTTGTGAGAATGTTGCATTAATATTTTGTGTGTATGCTTTGTGACTATTTGTTGGTAAGTCACTTCTTTGTGTATATTTTGCTTACAATATTGTGTATATTTGGTCAGTTTGGTTGGTGATTTGTCATTTTATTTTTCGTTTAAATTTTTAATTTTTATTGTCATTCTACTTCGTGTTTTCATTTTTATTTACTTCCTTGCGATGCTATAACGAGTTTCGGGGCAAAAGTAAACACTGTGTTTCTCCATGTGCGTGCCTTTTCGCGTTATTTTTTTTTTATTTGTTTATGTATTTTCCATGGTTATTTTGTCTCTAAACACAGTGTTTGTATTTTTCCATTTTTGTTTTGTCTGTTTACTCGTTTGGTGTAATTTCCATTGTAGTTTGGTTACTAACCTAGGTCTGTTTATTTTTCCACTGTTCAACTGTTGTTTTGTCTGTTTACTAGTTTAATGGGTTTTTTCCATTGTAGTTTGGTTTCTAACCTCGGTCTATTTATGTTTCCACTATACCACTGTTGTTTTGTCTTTGGCCAGGGTGTGTTTCTCTTTGAAGCATACGTTTGCCTCCTACCATATTTTGTGTATCTAGTATTTTTATTTGAAGGTCTATCGACTTTGCGTGGTTTTTCACTCGATGATAATTTGTTTGCAACGTCACCTCCTGATTTATTGTATTTATATTTAGCATGCTGTATAAGCATTTTAAGTAACGGGATTTCGGACATTGTCATAATTCTGCAATGGTCTATCCAAAGATGAAATTCTTCATTCCATTTAGAAGCGCGTACTGTCAATGGCTTCCTTAGTCGAGAATCATAACAGAAACTTTGCACATAACTTTGAACTGTTTTAAAATGTTGAACTTCTTCGTGAAAAGATGGTCCCTCTGCCTGTATTTGAGCTAGAAATCGTCTTTTGAAAAAATCATACAACCGGAAATCTGCATTGTTCCATTGTTTTAGTTTGCTCATATCAGCCGGAAATAGACTGACGTGTTTTCTAGGTTTACTTCTGTTGATATTAAGAGGGACGTAAACTATGTCAATCAACCCCCAACCTAAGTATCGCTTCAGGAGCACTAGGGACTCAGGGAAATACTCCATCACCATAACTAACTTAAAGTCACTAGCTAGATCATTTATGAAATTTTCTACGTAAATGTTGTCGTCAAAACGAGACGGAGGAAGACCAAAATCATATGACATTCTATTCCTCACGAAAACTGTCCGTATATTCCGGTATTTATCCTGGTGCCTGAAATACTCATGTATAACTTCAGCTGGCGCTGATTGGTTTGATAAACTGGAATATTTTTGAATCGTTTGGATAAACCGGTAGTAAACTGAGGCAGACAGGAAGTGTGAAACAGGCTCTCGGACTATCCCCACATACTCTGTGTCTTCGGGCATGATGTCACGGAACGCATGGCGGTTGTAGACCACGTGATTACACAATATATTGTACGTTTCATTGTGCGGAACAGGCACTATAGTATTTTTATCGACCGTCTTTCCGTATCCAAGGTAATTAAACCCATATCCATCCTCTTTACTGGGAAGTACTATATTTAATTTATTTGAAATACCGAAGCGTAGGAATATATTCATGATTGTTGTACTTCCGGCTTTGTGCACTTTCAGAAAAACTGCGTTAGTTTTCTTCTGTGGGAAACTTTCTGTTGCAACATGAGAAAATGTTTGATTGACATGTTGTGTATCTGTAGCTGCCATGAATTGAACTTTATCTTGGCTTTCATCAGTAATCGGAAAGCGTAGTTGAAAGGGACGGACTATCGTTCCTGAAGACGTATTGACCAGAAGGTTGCTGACAAGCCGGTGTCTTGAAATACCCTCCATGGGTATTCCGATGTACAGGAAAACGCTTGTACAAAACATGACACAAATACTGTGGAGGCAAAATAAATATAGGCATTAACAGAATGACGTGATCAACGCGTACGTATCAATTGTTCAATGAATAAAAACGGAACTACGATCGTATCAGGCATTGGAGTCGAACAAACCAATATTTGCTAGATGTGTTTTACTTAAACTGATATAAAAGCAGAAAAAAAACTATGCAGCCAGTATACAATATTATTGCTCAATTTATGAAGGCAATTCGCCGCACTGTTAAGACACCATCACTAATAATTCTTTTTACACGAAAACGCAAGACAAATACCTACATCACATAGCTATGAAGAAACTAAACATATCCTTTGGCGATTTGGAACCGAAAACTTAGTACTAATTCCGGAATTCATATATGGCTGATGGTGTATTTGTCCCTTAAGCTACGGCGCCATCTGCTAGGTATCAGATTTGTGTCGCTGCTCATTTATAAAAATATCAATACTTTTGACTCTAATAGATAGATCCATTATTTGAAATACAAAAGTAAAATACTTACAAATACAAGAACCTTGTTGGAGACATCGTGAGATTATTATAACGTGTCATGTCGGATACAACGGACACACAACCTGCAACAAAAAGGTCACTGGTAACAATATATATACACGTAGTGTCACCAATTAGCCAGCAATTAATTAGCTAACACAAAGACACATGTTTGTTTTATAAATGCATGTTAACTTTTCACGGAACAGAGTTTGTTTTATAACTACATGTTTACTTTTCTTGGCCCAGTGTTTGTTTTAAAACTGCATGCTTAATTTTCACGGAGCAGTGTTTGCGTGTCAAGGAACAGTGTTCCGTTTTGGTGGAGCGTTGACCTCTCGCGGCAAATCGTTTAATTTTAGCAGAAATCGTTTAATTTACGAATTTCTTTTGTTCTGTCGGGTTCTTTCATGTCTGCCGACCGGCCACGCTCTCGTCCGCGACAGGCCTACCTTATCGGCAGTGTAGTGGCGCGCACCAGCCAAAATTTACCTGAGCTCGGTCAGAGCGCTCACCCATGACGTACGTAGCCGTCGGCTACCGGTAGTCCGAATCGTAAATAGTACCGCTGTAACTGGTTCGTCATTTTCCATTGCATGCACTAAAAGTGACGTTTATGTTACTAAACACACGATTAATCCTTTGTTCTACGCCACCAACATAAAGTGGGCGTTTTCCTTGTTTTACGAAACGTTAGTTTTATTGTACAACATGATCATCGAATCAATGTACCCAAAGTACGTGTTTTATTGTACAACATGATCAGCGAATCGATGTACCCCAAGTACGTGTTTTATTGTACAGCATGATTAAAATACAAGTGAATCAAACTATCCTTAATACGTGATGTGTTGTACAGTATGATTAAAATACAAGTGGATCAAACTATCCTTAGTACGTGTT